CACTGGAGTCCTGATGAAAGAATGAGGCTAACGTGGCAATATAGCCAAGGTATACTGTCAGGTGAAAAAAATCAAGCGTAGAATAGAATGTAGACTTTAATGTAATCTGTGTTCTCTTTTAATAAATGGTAATTATATAAAAATATAGTACAAATGCATAGGCAATTCCTGAAACTATATAGAAGCAGCAGTGAACAGAGGAGAGGAAATGTTACTGCTGAGTAAAGGAAATGGAAGTGTGGGCAGGAGAAAAAGATGAACTTTATACTACACTATCATGTATTACTTTGATAATAAAGAGTGTATCTTCAAAAATACAGAATAAACCCGGCCGGTGTGGCTCAGCGGTTGAGCATCGGCCTAGGATCCAGGCGATGGAGGTTCGATTCCCGGTCAGGGCACATGCCCGGGTTGCGGGCTCGATCCCCAGTCAGGGGCGTGCAGGAGGCAGCCGATCAATGATGACTCATCATTGATGTTTCTGTCTCTCTCTCTCCTTCTCCCTTCTTCTCTCTGAAATCAATAAAGATATATATATATATATATTTTAAAATAAATCCATCAAGTAGTAAATTTTACTTTAAATTAAGTGAAAAGATAGTTCGAAAAACATCAGAAATAAAAACTTAGTGTTAGCCCTAGCTGGTCTGGCTCAGTGGTTAGGGCGTGGGAAGGTCCCAGGTTGGACTCCGGCCAAGGGCAGGTACCTAGGTTACAGGCCGGATCCCGGTCCGGGCATGTGCGTGAGGCAGCAAATCAATGCGTCATCCATGTTTCTCTCTCTCTGAAAAAGCAATGGAAAAAATAACTCAGGGCCAGGATTCAAAAAAAAGTTAGACAATTTTCCTTAACTCATTCCGAGTTTTGAAATAGAGATTGCAATCTTTGGAGATTTTGATTATGCTAAGGATACATCTGCTGGAAAATCAAGATAGCTTTGGAATTTTGTCATTTCCAAGAAAATAATTTAGGTGCTGTATGGTGGTTTGCATAATCCCTAAATTTCTTTTTATGAGTCTGAGAAGCTAAATTTCCAAATTCTAATGCAGTCCTCCCCTTTTTAAAGTGTAAATTGAATACCAATATATGATACTTTAAAAAAAATTCCTTTTACTGCAATGCAATTTAGTATGCAAATTGTTCAGATTTGCCAAGTTTGCATGTCTTTTTCCCCCTCCATGTTCTGTTTCAAATCTGATGTTAAAATAACTGAAAACTTTTAATTTATTAAGTAGACAATTTAGACTTCAAAATTACACCACAGCACAATCTAAGTTTTTAAGTTTTTAAAAAATATATGTTTTTATTGATTTCAGAGAGAGGAAGGGAGAGGGAGATAGAGACATCAATGATGAGAAAGAATCATCAATTGGCTGCCTCCTGCATGCAGGCTACTGGGGATTGAACCCACAACCCAGGCATGTGCCCCGACTGGGAATGAAGCTGTTGACTCCCGGTTCATGGGTGGACGCTGAACCACTGAGCCACACTGGCTGGCCACAGCCTATACTTATTTGGGGAATATTTTCTTTTCCCTACGAAAAAAACCAAGGTAATGGATGATGTATGTCAGACGTGACGTTATTGTACAGAAGAGTGTGACGGCGCAGAGTAAGAGGCTGTCCTGTCCCAGCAGGCGCCCAGCAACAACCGAAATTTAATCCCGACTCCGGGAAGACCCGAGCTGTGCTCTCCAGATTAGTATTCGAATCCGACTGGGAGTCCTCCGCTGTTATTTTAAGATTAATGGCCGCCTGCCCGGCTCGCCGGCGGAGAGAACCGCCCCGTCCACGCCCCGCTCTGGGTGTGCTGCCACCTGCGGGGCCCCCGCCCGCCCGGGCCCGGGGAC